TTGGGACTCCTGGCAACCGGCTTGAATTTATGACAGTTGTAGATCTCAGGGTCATGATTGCCATTTGCGACCTTCCCAGCCAGCTTCCAACAAGCAAAATCACTGGGAAGCCATCACAGAAGGTCACAAGTCACAGTCACCTGATGTTTCCCTTAGGAACTATGGTGATTTACTTAATGATTAGAGCAAAAATGTTGGGTGATTACACAAACAGTGCAAATTCAAAGGTAATTGGTAATTCCCATCAGTTAGGGTTAGGGTTAACATCAAGAGTTTACAGGTGAGCCTTGTTTAATGACCACTCTGTGATCGGTTGAACTTGACAGATGAGCATATTTGGTAATTTAATATTGATAATTAGAAGGCAACTTAAAAGGGATTCCATACACATAATCCTGTACATGTATGTGTGTGTGGTATACCTGCCACTTGCATCAAATGTGTGACCTTCTTTCCAAAAAAATAAACTTTCCACAAGAATCTGATACCTGTCTTTATCAAATATCACGTACAGTACTACAATTTACTGATGACCATTTTGATCAAATATGAGCACAGCCTAATTCCACAGAAGGAAAATTTCCAAAGTTAGTTCTTTTTTCTTTTAGAAAAAAGAAGGCAGATAAATAGCAAAAATATGTGTGGGCAGGCAAAGCAATTCTGCGGTTTATTAGCTATTTGAAAATATAAAAATATTTTAAGTATTTCTATCAAATTAATAATTTTACTAATGCTCAAAAACTGATCGTAATTTCTATTTCTACAAATTATCACGTGCATCCTAAAGGTGGATCAAATGTCCAATAACTTTTATGTCCAAATTGCATGATTCATCCTCCTGTTTAAATTCCTCTAAATCACAGAAACTTGGAGAAAGGATTAGCTAAATTCATCCCTGCTAGCCAGTGCCTGAATTAGTTAAAGGGGTACAGGAGTTTCACAGAAAAGAAAAAAACAGATAAAAAGTAACATTGCTGTATGTCCAACAGACACATTTAGTGTTGCAATTGAATTTCTTTCTGTGAAGAGTTCACTGATTGTAATATCATGCTGTTATCACTATATATTGCACTTACTTTTCATGCAGGCTGTCAAATGCAAAACTATATACTATTTGGGCATTACAAGATTTCTTACTGGTACAATTCTGTAGTTTCAGAACGCCAAATGTCAGAATTATATTTCATACACATGCAACTGGAAACAGCTTCAAACCAACAGCTGAAAAAGTGCATTTTGCCTTTGTTGTTTGGGAACTGCAATAAAGAGACCGCATTGCTATTGCTTCTTTGCAGAGCTTATATGAGAAGATAAATGTGCAGACAGTCCATGGTATTTTATATTCTAATTAACATATGAGAGAGAGTGAGTGAGTGTGTGTATACACACACACAAATACAAACATACACATATACATACATGTATACATGTGCGTATGTATACACCCACACACACCTTAATGGAACTTAAATGCAACAATCTGTCCATATCTAGTCACCATTTCCCATATGTCTGACGTATATTAACTGCACGTGCCTAATGATTCATTCCAATTTCATGTACATATATAGATAATAGTGCTTTGATGGACATCTTTTCACCTTATTAGTGCAGTAAATTAAGAGTTTACTCTATTCATAAGCTTCTAATGACTGCAGTTCTAAATGGCCTAGGGCTGAAGCACATTCATGATTGTCTACTTCAAACAGCGTTAGCCTAACCAAGAAAGAAGTGCAGTGTTCCATTTTCATGAAATCAGAACAACCCAGGAGGTCTTCTCTGTTATGGAACCCATGATGTGACGTAAGAAGTTAGATTTGCATTGACCCTAGTGGTTTTCTGGAAGCAAATTAAAAAAGGAGCGCTTGTGAATGGTTTTTTAAGTAGTTAGGATAGAGCTTCAGGGGTTATTTACATATCATTCTGATAGCCAATTAATGACACATTTTAATGGTTGCATTTATTACAATATTATTTGGACCATGGAATTTTATTCTTTGTGGTCCTCAAGAGTCACACAATGGTAACCTCCTTAAAAATAAAAATCTAATAAGTAAATAAATTAGTGTGCAACAAGCTTACACACTTACCAGGGAGTATATTACAGCCTTAAAATGTTCCACAGGGTATAAAATTATAGAGACACAATTGAATTTATTTAAATGTAAATAAAGAGTTTCTCAGTATACAAGCAATAGTTTTCTGTTATTCAATAGTAAGTTTAACTGAAATCAATCCATTTTAGAAGGTGAGAGCTGAAGGCAACGTATAAACCAGTACTGTTAAAATGTGGAGTTCCTATTTTGCCCATGGCTATAAAATGAAGCTTTAAAATTAAACTGAACAACAATACTTAAGTTGCATAAAGTAAAGCCTTTAGCTAAACAATAAGCAAGAAGAAGGGGGGAATGGTGCAAATCCAAAAGGAACTTTAGATATTTCAGATCTCTCAGAGGCAGAAGGTAGGGTTTTTCCATAAAGTGCTTAAATGGCTATTATGACCCAAATAATAACCATGAAAATTAAAGTACAGTAGCAAAATACCCAGGGCTGGTGAGAACATACAATGTAAGTCTGGCTCTGTTTTATATGTGATTCAAATATCCTAGTAGCATTTTTATGATAAATTCCATTAAACTTACTTTAGAAAAAATGATAAATGTATTAATAGAAATTAAACACATATTTTAGTACACATGCTGCCATAAGGACAGGCTGGTAATACTGGGTTATACAGGAATGTTTACTAGACTTTTCCCCCTTTATTTCAGTTCAGAATATACAACTTTCAACAATTACCTTGATTTGAAACCCAATAGGGAACACTTACTTTCTCTGGGCCTTTTCTTTCTTGGCTTTGGTCCGTTTTTTCCGGGCTTGCAATGCTAAAACTGAAAAGAGATGAGGAAGAAGAATGCTGAATCAAAATCGGGTACAAAAACTTTAATTTTTAGCATCATCTTTGGTCTACAAATCCTTAACCAGCAGCACCATTTATGCTCAATTTCAATGATAAGCTATATGACCCCGTCAGATTATTTTTTCTTCCTTAAGAACGTAACCTAAGTGGAGACAAAGTATCATAGTCTCCATCTCGTACACACAAAGGGGAGAGGTAAGCAGACGCTCAAAAAGTACATCACTGTCAACATACCTGAAAAATGCAACAGGCATCTATTATTAAGTATACTAAAAAGAACCCAGAACCCAAATCATTTAGGTCAGAGCAGCAGACTGAATTCAAATTAAAGGAAGACCAAGAAGAGCAACCCCTTCCTGAGGCGAATTAAGCAAAGGGGGAAGAAAAAAAAAACCGAGCAAAAAAAAAAAAGCCCAACGCGCTCACCTTTTCGTTCCATGGCGGCCAGCGACGGCAGCCCCGCTGAGCTCCCGCGCGTGCGCTCTAAAGGTGTTCCGTGCGCCTGCGCCGGGCGTGGGCGGGCCGGCCGGCGCGTGCGTACGGCCGGTATCTTCGCGCGCCGTTGTGCGCGCCACCAAATTTCTTCGCCGCCGCCGCTGCTGTCACTTCCTTCCGAGCTGGGACTACTAAGGAAAGCCACGCCCCCCGGCTCTTCCAAGCGCGTACGGCACCGCCCCCTCCTCCTCTGCATGGGTGGGCGAAGCCGCGCGTTAGGCTCCTCGGCCGCCTCCCCCTGTCCCATGTGCGGAGCGCATGCGCTTCCCCCTCCGCAGCCCGTTGTTTTCCCTTTCGGTTTTCGCCGGATTTGGCGGGGTCAGAGAGCGGGGCAAGGGTTAAAAACTCCGCCTGGCGTGCGTTAGCGAGGTGCCGTAGCTAGACAGAGAATTGTGACGTCTCCGCCGTCAATTCTGCTTGCGGGCGAAGTTTCAAGTCACAGGCACAGCCAACCTGAGATTCAAAGGGGCAAGAACGCCTTTCGGGGGTCCCAATCCGAGCGGTTGTTTCGGCAACTGGTTTCTGATGGGTCCTCATCCATCGGCAGGTGGCGTGGCAGGTCGCAGTATCTGAAACTGCTGCAGAATTGCAAGCCGTTTTGAGACGGCTGTTAGAGACATTCCTGATGTGTTTGGGGCTCGACTTTAAACGTGAGATGTAGGGGTTGTGTTACTTTCGCATTCTTGAAGAACTACGGTATCTTTCCGCAGAGCGGCGTCTAATATATGACATGTCCTCTACATTTTAAATGGGTTTTTGGTAATTGATTGTTGTAGGTCGCCCACGGTCACCTTGTGTGAGATCATGGGGTGGCTGTGTACATTTAACCAGTAAGTTGAAGGTAATACGATGTATAAAGCGTGATTCCCCTTTGCAGATCCTGTTCCTGGGGAGGAGGGGGGAAGACGGGGACGTGCATTGACTGTTAGTAAGTTGCCCCTTTGCCAAGAATGGGAGATTTGCAAACGAGCAAAACACCAGCTCGGTTCTTCATACGGGTGAATATATGGCATCAACACTAGGTCAGTACGAGGAAACGCTGGAGTTGTGCGCGCTTTTGATTTCTTGAGTAAGACTGTGGAGTAAAGCAAATTGGAAAATAAGGGGAAATCCAGCAGCTTCAGTAACTTAGGTTGGTTAAGCTGAGGAAACTTCTTGGACGAGAAGCGAAACGTCTTCAAAGAAAACCAGAAAGTCCAGATGCCTCTTGAAAAAGCACCTTTGGGACAACCCTGGATAGACATTTAAGCTGGTTAAGCAAAAACGAGGTGGGAAAAAAGCACTTCTCATGACAGGAATTCACGTTAATCTCTAAATCAAAGAGGCTGCCTTAGAAATGTCGCAATGAAGATTACGGTGCTTCTTGGCCCTAAAGCTCCGAGCTGCAGCCTTTCCCATAGCAACGGGGAAGAAAAGCAAGAAGATATAAAACCGGGCTCGCGCTGTCAAAATAACCCCTCCACCCCAGGAAGGCAACTCCTACAATTGCCTCAAACTCCGCCTTCCTCCGTTTCTCTCCTTTATAGATCTCGCGAGACCGTGCCAGCGGGCTGCGCTCGTATAGGCCGCAGGAATCAGGTTCCATATTGGGGCATTGCCTCTAGCGATTCCGAGCCGCAGATCTCGCGATACCTCCGCGATCGATTGGTCGAGGATCTAGGAAGAGGTTCGGCGAAGTCAGACTGGCGCGTCTTCGTCATTGCCTGGGTCCCCGCTCGACTCTTAAACCAGCTCGGGTCTCCTTAGACCTAGGTGGCCTTTCCCGTCAGGGATTGGGCAGCCTGGAGAAGTGAGCGCTTGCGGTGTCCTCCCCCGCCCCGGCCACTGTTCCTGCAGCGGTCCTTCTCCTTTCCTTCCGAGGAGGGGCTGCAAGCGGTGCAAGGCGTTCGGGGCGAGCCGCTGCGGCCAAGCGACCGAAGTTGCAGCTAGGCGCGGGTGACTTTCCCACCTCCTCCCTCCGCGCGGGAAACTCCCTTTCGCTGCAGGGGGAGGAGCCGAGGTCCCCGGTTCGAGGGTCTCCTCCCTCTCGGCCCCGCTGGGTGGGGCGGACTTGGGGGTCGAGATGACCCAGGAGCGGCCCAAGTTCTACCGGCAAGAGCTGAACAAGACGATCTGGGAGGTGCCCGAGCGTTACCAGAACCTGTCGCCGGTGGGGTCTGGAGCTTACGGCTCCGTCTGGTGAGTTGCAATCATTCCAGGGAAAAGGAGGAAACGTCGCCGTCTGCGCTGCATCCAAAGGGCGGAACGCGCATCTTTGCAGCGCTGCCCGGCATGCAGTTGTCCGCATTCCCACCGAGGCCTGTCACCCCGGGGGAGATCCTATTCCTTGGCAGTTTTTTTTTTTAAAAAAAGCCCCTCGGGATGGTTGGTCTTAGCATGCTTTCACACACACACCCCTCAAAAAAAAAAGGTTTATTCAAGTTGCGCTATCAGAAGGGAACTAACTGGTTTGGGCTGTTCTGTTAGCCCTTTTGAAGTCCGGGCGTGTAGATTTATGCTGCCCTCCTATGCTTTATTCTACAATCACATTGTCCTGTCAGTCTAATCTTCCCTTGTGGCCGCTTTCCACTGATTTTGTTCTGAGCAATCATCTGGTAGGTGGTTACCCTCTTGGACTAGGACCCAGGGAAACCAAGTGCAAAGCTAACCCATCTATGGAAGTTCGTTGGCCAGTTTTGGACTTTTCCTTCCTCCGATTGCTCTTTTGGCCCAGTTTACCTCCCAGGGTTAATGGGGGTGGGGGGGCACGACGACAAAGTGAGCGTTTTGTAGTCTCCCTTGAGCCAGATAAAAATTTAACAAATATGCATAAACTTATCTTGCTTTTCTGGTGCCTAAATGATAGGCTTTGATAGAGAGGAATTGCCTAATTATTCTCGCCCCAGTTTCAGTTTGGAATTGTAGGGCAGGTTGTCTAAGACTTGGAAAGATCTGGCTTTGAGGAAAAAGCACAAGTGCCCTGCTGACTTCAGGATCTTTCCCTGCAAAAATTGTTTTTTGTTGGGGTGATGTTGCTTTCTGTTGGGCCTGCCTCAATAAAGCAGTAACTTCAGCCCTGCATGACGAGAGAGATTTAGCCAGCCAAATCTGTTGCTTTCATCCTTATCATGAAAGAAGCTCTGGGCAGCATATACTCTTTCTGTTCTCCCATTGTCTTTCTTCTTACAACGGTTGTGGGTATGTTAGGCTGACCAGGACTGACCTAAGGCTTCATGGATTTGAATTTCAACATTACCAAACTGAATTTTCCAAGTGTATAAATAGCATTTTCTTAAAAAAAAAGTTAGCATACTTCAGGCTACTTTTGTAAATAGAAGAAGCTGTGGGTTGTACAGGCTAAGCATTAAAGACATTGTAAAATACGGTAGTTGAAAAGAAGTAATGTAAATTAGGAGAGGAAGTTGTGTTTTTCCTAACGATGTTTTGCACTGTATTTTCTGGTGTGCATTAGTATAACAAAAATATTTTAAGTAGTTGTGCTTCATGGAGAAAGAAGATTCAGTGACAAACCCCTGCAAGTAACACCTACATTGTGTTAAGTTAGACAGTAAATAAAGCAGAGGCAGCCTACTCTTTTGCTTTTGTGGAAATAACATAGATTTTGCTAACATTGTAGGCGTCTTAAAAATGGTTATACTGATTAGTCATAACATTTTATTGCAATAGTTTATAGATTCTATAGATCGACTCTGCCACTCCAACTTTTTTAATGAGTAGGGAGATACATTCCAGATGAGGCAGTATTTATATTTTTCCAAGAATGAATGTGGAGCTTAAGTAAATAACAAATGCTGCTAGGGGCTGGTATTGCTTTGTACAGCATGTCTGAGTATTCTTACATTAGAATCTAAAAAAAAAGTAAAAATCAGTTATAAGACATAAGACATAAGAATTTATTTGTCATTACACTCGCAAGCGGGTGCAACGAAATGAGGTGCTCTTCCACAAGTAAAACTGGACAACACCATTGAAAGAAAAATAAAATTAAACACAACAGACCATACAATAATCTCTATACAATTTAAAAATGTAAATACCCCATTACTCTCAGCCATTAAATTCCACAAAATCTTATGACCCTGCATTCAAACTCAAAACTGCACTTGGATAAAAACTGTTCTTAAATCTAGTCGTCCTTGTTCTTAATACCCTGAATCTCCTTCTCGATGGTAATAGTTCAAAGAGCTGATGTCCCGGATGAGAGGAGTCATTCAATATATTAAATATCTTCCTCTTACATCTATTTACCAGTTATGCTGGTAAATCTGTTTTTCTGATTAAAAATAATCAGAAGGAAGTAAAATACTCTTGACAAATACATTGCTTAATGAATGCAGTAGGATTAGTCAATAGACATATCGGTGCTTTTAGTTCATACTGTATTGGTCTCTTATGGCTTCTGTAAATGTACTTTACTGAAATTCAGCACTGAACTTCCCAGATAACATTGTGCCAGGAGTCAAACAGTGAAATAGTATACCGTGATTCAAAATGCATCATATACAGGTAGTATTGACTTGCTACCACAGTTGAGCCCAAAATTTCTGTTGCTAAGCGAGAGACAATTAAGTGAATTTTGCCCCATTTTATGACCCATTTTACCACAGTTGTTAAGTTACTCACTACAGTTGTTAAGCAAATAACAGATTTGTTAAGTTAATCTGGCTTCCCCATTGACCCTGCTTGTCAGAATGTCACAAAAGGTAATGACATGACCCTGAACACCGCAGCTGTCATAAATACAAATCAGTTGCCAGGATTTTGATCACATGACTATGGGGGTGCTGCAATGGTCTTAAGTGTGAAAAACAGTCATAAGTCACTTTTTTCAGTGCTGTTGTAAGTTCAAACAGTCAAACTGTTGTAAGTCGAGGACTACCTTTATTGGAGTTGAATCCTATGAGTACTTTTCTAGTAGCCACAATTCAAAACTTCAGTCTTTGTGGACTGATGAACATATTTGGAATTTTAGACTTCCGGTGGCAAGGCAAGGGCGAACAGAGGTGCAGAAGCCCGTCTGTGGTTTCAGTTAATCTCTTTTTGCGGTTGGTGCGATCCTTTGAGGGTGCACGAGTCCCGGAGAGATTTGTGCCGGTGTGGGGGAGACTCGGGTTGCAGTGTGGGGAAGGCAACCCCCCTGCAGCAAAGAGGAGCCCTCCAGAGCCCAACGAGCAAGAAACAGGCTCCTATCAATGGCGGCTCTGAAGTCTGGACTGCCACCGATGTAAAGAAGCGAGTGAGTGACAGTTTGTGAGATCATTGGGGAAGAGAGTGGTAGAAAAAATTAGCGGCGGAGAGGAGGATTGGAATGCCATAGACTTTTATAAGGCTGTTACAAGTGTCTGTCCGGAGCCCTAAAAGAAAGCGGCCAAAAAGCGGATGCGAGGCAAGTGACAGTGAAAGGGCTTGGCAGACAGAAGAGAGAGTGAGAGGACAATAACGAGTAAAAAGGGAAGTTTACGAGGTTGGGAGACTAGCGGCTGGAAGGTTCCTGGAAGTTGTGGAGGATTTGGACTATCTCATTTGATTTTTATTCTGAAAGACTTTATTAAAGAGGAGACGGGAAAAAGATCGGAGCTGACGGAACAGAGATAGTGTGGCGCCACAGGCAATATTTAAAAACCCTGAAGCTATCGTAACAATATAACTGATATAAACCACTTAACAGCCCTTTAGGGAGCATATTGATCTAATTGAGGGGGTGGTTCCATCTGAAGAAAATCAGGAAAATTAGGAACGCTAAGACAAAAAGTAAAAATGGAAGCTTCCGAATCTGTGAAGATACCGTGTAATTGCAGTCACTACTCAGCATTTTTTACCTCCCCACTGATGATGGCAGATGAGATTCTGCTGAAATGTTGCTACAACTTTAAAAGCACAACTACAATGACGTGGGAAAATACCCAAACAAAGCTGAATGCCATACATATATATATTATATATATAATATATAATATAATATATATAATATAGTGTAGTATAGTATACTATAGTATAGTATAGTAGCATAGTATAGTATAGTATAGTATAATATTATATAATATAATTATTACATGAAGTTATGTTTAGAGGCTGAGCATAGACCTTACAAAATAATATATGTGATTTATAATTTGGACTTAAAATAATACAGTGATAATATTTTTATACATAAGTACTTATACTCCAGTAACCAGTTAAGAGCACAGCTATCCAGCAGATAGATAGATTAAGTAATCAGATACTGGTCAATCCTAATACAGAGATTCTATCACTGAATGTTTTTTGGGATAATATAATTAATATTGGACAACAACAGAAACAAATCTTAAAAGAAATGACTTCCACAACTGCTACAGCTCTGAAAACTGGAAGAAAGGTCACCCCGACGTTAACAACTACATCGGCAACAGCTTCGCCCATGGCACAAAAAACCATAGAAGAAACATTACCAGTGGAGAAACAAGCTAACATCTCGAATGCCAACATCCAATCAATTTTGCTGACTTTACAGGAATCGATGATGAAGCTGCAAGAAACAATGATGAAAAACCATAACGAGACGAGAGCAGATATCAATGCACTAAAAGAGGAGATGGGGAAATTAAAAGCAGAAATGAAAGCGGATATCTCCAAAGTAGAGGACAAAGTTGGATTATTACAGCAGGCCTCGGAGAAAATGAAGCAACAATAAAAGAGGTAGAGAAAAGGACTGAACGAACCGAAAGGAAATTAGAAAGGGTAGATGAAGAATTAAAGAATGTGAGTAAAGAAATGGAGGACTCACTGGTCTACCTAGAGATGGACAAGGCTGCTACATACTTGAGATTCCAAAATGTAGTTGAATCCAAAGAAGAAGACCTGGAACAACTAATGGCGGGAATACTGGCTGGACTATTGGAAAAGGATAAAGATGACATCTTAAGGGAGTTTGGTGAAGTTTACAGGATTAGCACTAATTATGCGCGACGCCACAAATGCCCAAGAGAAGTCCATATAGGATTTGCATGAAGGAGTGTCCAGGATATCATATATGGGATGTCAAGATATGAAACAATCATGTATAAAGGTAAAGAAGTCTTGATTCTCAAACAAATACCAAGAAGAGTAAGAGAACAAAGATGAGACTACAAGTTCTTAGCAGCTTACCTAAATCAGAAAAGAATCGTATTTAAATGGCTAATCCCAGAGGGGATGTTAGTTTTTTGGAACGAAAGGAAAATAGGCTCCATGGAAAAGGCCCAGGAATTTTATGAGCAATTGGTAGGTCCGGAAGACCAGAGCAGTAAGGAGGAACTGGAAACAAACTCCCAGGACAAGGCTATCATAAGAACAGAGATGGAACTTTAGGAAATCAAGCAAATACTCATCTACATCAGGAGAGAGAAGAAAGTAGGACACATCTTCAGGTACAAGGAGAGACCGGAGCCAATACAAGACAAAGAGCGAAACAGAATTAATTAAATGGAAGAAGAAAAGAAACTACCATCTATTAATATAAATGGTTTAAACTCGACCATAAAAAGAAAAAGGATAATAGCTAAACTAATCAAAAAAAAATGCTGATATAATATGCCTACAAGAAACTCATATAAACAAAACGGATGAAAAATAACTAGAATGTCTGAAATTAGTGAAGCTATTTACCGCACCAGCAGACATGGGGAAAAAGAAAGGGATTGCAGTATATGTTAAAGAGGATTTGAAAGCAGATTTAATATGGTCGGATTCTGAGGGAAGAACTCTGCTTTTGCAGATCTGGATTAATGCCATCCCAATTCTCTTAGTGGTAATCTACACCCTGAACGGAGATCAAAAAGAGTTTTTTAAGCATCTTTATGGAAAAATAGTTGGATTGGAAAAAAGAAATATTTGTATCATAGGAGATTTTAATTCTATTGCTGATTATCAAAAAGACCACAGTAATGGGGGGAAGAACAAAGGGGGGGGGGGGTAAGAGAGCTTCCCAAGATATGTATGGAAATGATGAAGGAGTTAAATTTGATTGATATATGGAGAAGGTCACATCCCGAGAAAAAACAATTTACATTCTATTCAAATCCTCAGCAAATATGGACACGAATTGGTATGGCATGGATGAATGGGGAAATAGCAAATGAAATAAAAGGGATTGAAATTTTACCTAATGAATGCGCAGATCACAATCCAATTCAGATAATATGGAAGGGTAGGGAAAAACCCAAGAAAAGATGGACATTAAATACTCAGTTAATAAGAGAAAAATAATACACCAACAAACTCAAGGAGGAATTAAATTATTTCTTAAAGGAAAATGATAATGGAGTAACTACAAAACAAAACATTTGGGATACAATGAAGGCAGTAATAAGAGGTATAACAATCTCTTATAACGCCAAGAGGAATAAGGAAAAATACACCCAGCAAAACAAATTACAACAAAAAATTAAGGAATTAGAAACTCAATTACAGAGTACCCCAAAGGATTCAAAATTGCAAAATCAGCTAATAATAACTAAACATAAACTGAATTTAATTGAACAAGAGAGAATGATTATAAATTTGAATACAACTAGACAAACTTATTTTGAGCATGCTAATAAGCCAGGGAGATGGCTATCCTATAGACTGAAAAAAAAGAAAGAAAAGAGATTGATATACCAGCTAATAGATGGAAAGGGGGATATACAACAGGAGATAGAACAGAAAAAAGAAATTGCCCATAAGTATTTTGAAGAGTGATATAAAAAGGAAGAAGTTAATGAAGATAGAATAAGAAACTATTTAGATGAAGTGAAGGATAAAGCAATTGGAGAAGAAATGGAAAAATTATTAAACAAAGACATTACTTGGTTTGAATTGAAATCAGCAGTAGAGAACCAGAAAAACAATAAATCCCTGGAACCAGATGAGATTCTAGGGGAGCTGTACAAGGCAATAGCAGAACAAATAAGACCTCTAATGGTGGAAGTTTTTATGACGTCTTATTGGCAGCCAGGATGCCGGACTCATGGAGAGGGGCCTTGATTTCGCTGATCCGGAAGGAGGATTCAGATCCCCGATATATACATAATTATAGTCCGATTTCACTCTTAAATACTGATTACAAAATATTCACTTCTATTATAGCAAGTAGACTAAAAAGAATGTTAAATGAGCATATATATGAAGATCAAAATGGATTTCTCCCGACCAGACAAATCAGGAACAACTTAAGAATAGTACTAGATGTCTTAGAATTTTACAAAGCCCACCCTGAAAAACAAATTGCACTTATATTTTTAGATGCAGAGAAGGCCTTCGATTATTTAAATTGGCAATTTTTAATCCAAAAAATTTCTAATATGAATTTAGGCACCAAATTTGGAAATATTATAACAACCATTTATGATACACAACAGGCTAATATTATAATAAACTGGGAATTTTAAAAACACTTTTTAGTGCTATGAAAGTTGCATGGCGTATCCATGACGTCACCTATTATCTTTATAGCACAGAGAACCCAAGGATTCTTGCAGTTAGTAATTTTGGAGCATATGGTGATGAGTGCTTCTAAGTCATCTAAGATACTTTTCAGTGTATTCATTACACAGGTTAAGAGAAGTTCCTGATTGTAGACTAAATTCTTCTTTATTTTAGTTTACTAGTATTATATTTGAACAAATATTATAAGAGTGTTAAGCAGTAAGAGGTATCTGGTGTATATATTTCCTTTTGTCTGATGTAAAACAGTGGCTTTGCAAATATTTTAGCATCAAGATTAAGAATTTTTCCACTACATTCAGTATATAATTTGATTAGTTAAGGATAATTAAACTATATAGAACAGTTGAAGAATCCAGGCTAGCATCCAAGTAAGCATCCAAGGTACCCGTTCACGTAAGATTGTTGAAGGAATCTGAAATAATGGCCAGAGGAAAAAAATTATTGGAGTCCTTTGCACTAAATCCAATTTCATTGTAGCCAGGTCATATAAATGCAAAGTCTTATATTTATACCTGCAAGTTGCCTTGCAACAAAATGGGTGCCAAAAAAATTAATAAATAAAAATACCTTTTGTATATTTTCTGGCTATTGCACAGAAGACACCCACAGCATCCGTCTATGCCCATATTGCACTTAGTGCCCTCTAGATTGCCTGCTTACTGGAACTTTATAAACATGCCAGTGCAACATAATCTGAGAAAAAATTGGCAATTTTCCAGAAATCAATCTTTCAAACTAAAACTGGTTTCTGGTGTTCTAGAGAAGACACTGAACCATGAAACACCATGTCTGCAAAATCAGAAACGTTTCTGTTTTCAGACAATTATCTTCTGGTAAACTATTCCAGGGATGGCCAGTTTGACAACGACCCAGAAGAGTCATGGTAGGTTTTGTGTTCCTGGTAAGTTGATAAAGCAAAATGTCAGGCATTCATAATTTCGTCTAACTGAATAAAGGCATCTGGGTTCATATTAGACCACAAAAGTATTCTTAAAAAATTAGAATAAAAACTTCCCTCCTGCTTATATAAAGGAAGAGGAGAAGATGATTCGGGATGATATATATCTTTCTTGGGACGTGGCTAGTTTGGCATGATGGGGAATCAAGTTAATTAGTGGTTTGTGACATCAGTTCTTCCTGTGCCAAGAGAAACATTGCAGACATTTTGCAAGAACACCTGCCAGCCTTCAATAACTAGATATCCATTATGGGAATGTCTCTCTTTATGTTCAGTTCAGTGTGGTTAATAACACATAAGTGATTATTTTCAAATTTAGCGCAGGCATGGCTGACTCGGGGGAAGAGTGAAAAAAGGTTTTCCATTCAATTTCAAGCTAAAATAATACGGGTACATTCTGACAAATGCTTTTTCTATTCAAATACAGTTCAGTGTTAGTGTAGTCAGATATACAGTATCTGTTTCATCTTCAGATTTAATGGGTGGTTCTTTGTACATTTTGTACTTGTTTGCTATTTAGTAACAATTACAAAAATATGGTCTGGATTTTTTTAATATTTGGAAATGAGTACACAGTATCTCTTTAGGGTTGTCTGTAAATCTGATTAGATCAGAAACCATGGCAATAAAATTTCAAAATTTTAACGCATCTAAGTGTCTGAAAAAAACAGTGTCTAGATATTTCTGAGTTAAATTATTCAATCTAGAGATCTGAGGAGTAGTTTGGTCTTTATTTCCACAACTGGCTTGCTGTGAGGCATATATTATGCTTCGAGATGGATATAGGGAGCTTTTGTTTCGGAAATGTCACAATATGTGAATTTTGAAGTTGAAACTTTCAAGGAGTTTACAGGAAGTCATTGTCATATCTCTGTGTTATTAGTCATATGATTGCAAGATTTTTCATTCTTTATAAAGCCAAAGTTATTCCCACATTTATTCATTTAATGTAGTATATTAAAATGAATATCATATAATAATTCTTTTTCCATGCTTATGCCGAGAAAAATTTTCAACTTCTTTTGCGGCTCATATTCTAAGTTACAAACGTTAGTTACATTCTCTCAAAAGGCTAAGATAAATCATAATCTTTTCGTAGTAAAATGCTAACACTGATTACACCGTTAATGCTTTTTTAAAAATGATTTTATAGCTCTGCCTTTGATGCTAAAACTGGCCTTCGTGTGGCAGTGAAGAAATTGTCCAGACCATTTCAGTCTATCATACACGCCAAAAGGACCTACCGCGAACTGCGACTGCTTAAACATATGAAACATGAAAATGTAAGTTTGACACAAATCATAATTGTGTTTGGTTTCGGAGCCCAGTTGAGTATGAACTGTTTGTTAACTCTGGTTCACAATGTGCAGATATTCAAACTGAGCAGGAAAGGAGTTGGTCTTCCTCATGTAGAGCTACTGTCTGAAAGATTTCTTTACAGGGCCACTCACAGTTACAATGAATATGATCATACTGAATCCAAAGCACCTTTCATACATTGGAACTGAACACTGCAACCCATGAGTTTGCATGGAACAGTTTACGTGCCAGCCATAATGAAATGAAAATGACGTCATTCTTCAAGCAAAGAATGACAGTGGTGGGATATAATAGTGCAGTATTTATTCTATTAACTACGAGAATAGTCAAATTTGAGGAAATAATATAGCTGTTAATTCTGCAATCTGCAACTCCGGGACTGTTGTGAAATGCTTCATAGCTTCTCTGTATTTCTGGAACACAATATTGCAAAAACATTTCTTCCTCTAGTGCAGTTGTTGTCCAGATTAAGCAACCCTGTCAGATGATTTGTTAGTTCTTATCTTGTTTGATTAAAATTTGGTTGATTTTTTAAAAAGACCACTAGGCACATTTCATTTTATTGTTTGGAGGTGTTTATTTTTTATTTTTTTGCAAATAGTATTGCTTCTTTGATTTTAATTTCTCTCTCATTTCTAGAGCCACTGCTATGAGATCAGCAGCTGCATAAATCAAATGATTACACCTGTCATTTTATGCAGAGTTCACAATATGTAATAAATAGATCTATCCTACACAAATTTAATTCGAGTAAAGTCTGCTGTATTGAGGATTGAACTGATGGAGATTTTTGAAGTACAAGTTTAGTACAGCTAATCCACTTTTAATCAAAATACTTGTTCAGACATATCAGCAAATAGTGAAAGTGTGGAAAATTTGTTCTGTGAAAGCAACTTCTAATTTCCCTTTAAATGCTAGGAAGACCAATCAGATTGTCAACTCGTTGAGCATAACAGTTCAAACTATAGTTCCTGTTGCATTGTTCCTTGTTTCTAAATAATATATATATATTTATACTGATCTATAGTAGCCCAGTGGTTAGTATGCAGTATTGCAGGCTGACTTTGCCCATTGCTGGGCTAAAGGTTGACTCAGCCTTCCATCCTTCCGAGGTCAGTAAGGACCCAGATTGTTGGGGTCTATATGATGACTGTAACCTGCTTAGAGAGTGCTGTAAAGTCTTAAGTGCTACTGCTGTTTTTCAAGGACTATCAGATTTCGTTCTTCTGCAGGTAATGTCAGAACACTGCATGTAGTAAAGACTGGTAGTTTGTAACTGTAATTGTGTGTGAAGAAATTATTACTGAAATATATTGATGTAAGTTCAAAAGGGTACATTTGCCCATATATTTATTTTTGATTGCTAATTAAAGACAGACCTACCTTGGTTTCTCTTGTTGACATTAAATATTTAGGAAGGTCATTCAGTAAAATTCCATTACTTTTTAAATACTACTACTTATGTCAGTGAAAAGTTTTCATATGTAATTTAGATTGGATATTGGATGGATATGACAATTGTGAACACTTCAGAGTAATCACTACAGAACATGTGAGAATGGCACTGCACTGTCATTGTAAGAGAAGCCTCCATAATTTGGCATATGTAGTCCTAGAAAGAGATGCAGCTGCTTTAGGGGTCACAAGGTAGTGCTCTGTTCACTCTGTTCCAAAGCCCGTCTTTCCAAATCAAAGAAGCATGACATAGCTCTAGCACTTACAGGTTTTTTTTTAATATTTGGCTCACAGTAATTAAATTTCCCATACATTCAGAAAAGTCTTTCAAAAAGCCAGTCTCCTGATACAACTAGCTATTTTCTTAATATATTTGCCCCAAAGTCATTCATTTCGATTTCTTCGCATCATATTGGCTCAAGTGCCTAAAGTGCAGTCACATGACTGCAGGGAGGTTGACCGTGAGATCCTTAAATCGGGGTTGTAAATACTTTTTCAGGATCTGGGGTTGTAATTTCAAACTGTCTCTGAGCATCCGATCATAAGTCGAGGACTACTTGTCTAATATTGGTTTTATTAAATGCAATTAAAAATAGCAACAATCAGTAATCATAGCATATTTAGCATGATAGTGATGAGCTATAGCAAACTCCAGGATGTCTATATAAGTTTTCTTTAACATGATTCTGCAAAAAAAAACCAATTGAACTTTGCCAAGATTGCTGTTACTAAGCAATGTGGTTACATGATGTTCACAATCACATTACTTAGCTAAAATTCCAGTCCCAGGTACTGGTGGTACTCAAATTACAACCATAGTGGAACCTGCCCATTATGGTCATAAGCCATAAAACAGGTCAGTCATGTGAGCATCTGGCTTTATGGTATCTGTCTGTCATAAATAATCAGTTGTGATGCATTTCTACATCAGTATGATTCTCTGAACTCTCTGAATCATACTTAATAAAATATTTGTGGTTTTGATTCAGTTTTTATTTTCAGCATTTTCAGTATTTGATAAATTTGTTTCTAGTACTTTTGATCTTTTTGTTCATATATCACATATGGTAACATTTTTCTTTGTTGTGGCATTTCCACCAAATTAAACCATTTTGATAAAGACTGCATGAAGATGGATCTAAGCACCTCTGAATTAGGTCTTCAGAACTAGAATATCCCAATATACTGATTCTGGTCCTTTAGAGCTAATGCAGTCATATCTAATGCAAGTCGGATAGATCACAGCAAAGTCACCATATTGTGTAAGATGTAGTAAATTGGCCTTCAGAGTTTGTCAATATATCTCCATACATCATCATAATCATCATTATCATCATCATCATCATCATTTTGAAATGCACATTGGGTGCTGGTAGAAGCTCTACCCAAATATAAAATTAGTTGCTTTACTACAAAGTATCCATTTTTAGTAAAAATTGAAGTATATGGCAACAATAGAACAATGGAAATAAAACAGAATTTGATGCTTAGTTTAAATCATGTATTTACATAGCAGGCACTCTGGATTAGAATAATAAATATACTTCAGTTGGGGAAATGGATTGAAGAAAAAATGGGTTGATGTTCATGCTTACTTAGGAATTTCTTTTCCCCACCTTTACAGGTTATTGGACTTCTAGATGTATTCTCACCTGCGAAGTCATTTGAAGAGTTCAATGATGTGTAAGCAACAGTTCAAAACTTTGTAACATAATATAATATATACATATACATATACATACATACATACATACATACATACATACATACATACATACATTAAAAACACTAATCCAAAATTTATAACCTTTATATTGAATTAAATTTGTAGTCTTAGTGAACACTTCCTTGCATGTGGGAGGAGTTAGTGGGGCAAATGTGAGTGAGAGTATGCATCTAAGGACATGAATAGTTTAAGTTCTATACCTGCCTCAGTTTTGTTGCTGTAGAAGTATGTGTGCATTGACATAAAACCTTGCATTTGGAATGAAAAATAGGGACTGCTTCACACTACATATTCTCTGATGGTATTGTGTCCTCTACCCTTCCCCCTCAAAGATAAATAAGCTCATGTTGGCTCCTCCAAACCAAAGCAATGGTTTTGTTGGGGCCAGAATTAGGCATGAAAAAAATACACCACTCGTCCTTAATGATAAAATTGTAATCTAGATACCAGACAGGACAATAATGCAACTCTGCAACCTTTTGAAACAAAACCGGTTCATTCAAAACAAACAGCCCAAGAATTAAATGCAAAATGATGGTTTTCAGTCAGAAGTATAAGTCTGTCCAGTCCCACACAACCCTAGAAATTTGCACACCAGTAGATAGCTACTGTTATTCCCCTTCTATCATATCACTTGCCTGGGTTCAACTTCAACAATCACATAAAATCTGATCCCTGCACTTGGCACAGCTAAGCAGCCTCAGAATGAACTCTAAATAGCAGTCCATACTCAAGGACAGCCATTATGCATTTCTCACCTGGAATGAAGCCAGCCTTTGGCATGTACACCATGAGTGCCTGCAAGATCAAGCCAGAGTGCTATAAGACCATGCTCTAGTTCCACTTACCTTGCACAGAGATACATCCTGGAGCATAGGGCCCAAGCTTGAAGTCTGCAAAAATCACACTCCAGGTCTTCTAATCAGGTTTTTAAAAATGGCCCAATCACATGCCCACAATCTGTGTACCTTGTCTAGAGTCCTGCAGGGCAGTGCTAAAGCCCTGATAGACAACATTGCCACTCTACTGGACAAGCATCTTTCTCTGACCAAGGAGAGGAAGAGAGGTTCAGGCAGCAACTTTAGCCGACATGTTCAAACTCCCTAAAATTTGTGGCTTCTTCTCCCAAACTCATAATTCAATATGAGGTGTTGCACCCAGTCAGTATTTATCAGGATCATAGAATATATAATATCAAAAGGAAGATAAAATGCTAGAAACTGATGTGCATGTGGTAATAATAGTTTCTAAGCCATCTCACACATAAATTGATTTTAAATATTTGAATAACCTGTAACATAGGATAAGTGCGTGCAGAATTTTGTGAAGATCTCCATTTGTATGCTATCATTTATATTTCTATATCTTTTGTCTGTCCCTCCCTCCCTCCCTTATCTTCTTACTGTGCTTTATATCTTCTTGTTTATGTTGTATACCATTTTGAAGTTCAGGTTTTATAATTCAAATAACAGGTGTTGGCAAAATATTTACTTTCTGAAGCAGAACTGGCTACTTTTCTTCCTGGGAAAAAGCGGGGGTGGGGAGGACTTAAAAAAAGAAAAGCTGAGCAACATATTTTGAAGGTCTGATAATGGGAAGGAATAAAGTTCCTTGGTTTTATTGTTGAATTTTCAGACTTGCCTGTTCCATCATTATTTTGCATTAAAAGGACTCATGTACTTGTAGCTGTATAATAGATTATGAAGTGGCAAACATTTTAAAGAGCTGTGTTTAAAACTTGTAAAACTTGTATGTAACAGTTTTCAAAGGCACGTTGAGACACGCTTCCTGTTTTAATAAGTTCATTTAGATGGATTTTGTTAATAGATATTAATATGACTAAATGTTTCATATAGCCTCTATTCTATAACCTTTTTACATTGCTTCAGAGAAATAGAAAAACTGAACCATTGTAAAATCTCCTTAATTCATTGTTAGGAAGAACAACTAACTTCTGAAAAAATCTTATTTTCTTATCTTTTTACATTGATAACCTGCAAGCCAGAACCTATATGAAACAGCCTTTGTTTTTATTATCCTGTTTTCATTTAAAAGAAATAATCTTGAATATTTTAGATATATCTCCCAAATAATAAAAATACACAAAATTCTATAAATACATTTTTATAGATGCACAAATCTCATATTTTTGGATTGAGTGGATAATGGTGCTGATTATGTACTTACAAAATACATCAAAATTATATTTCTGTAAAATAAAGTTCTCTCTGTGAAAAAATTGAAATAAAATTCACTTTTAAGAGCTGAAAAAGCTTCTTGGATGAGAAGCGAAATGTCTTCAAAGAAAAACCAGAAAGTCCAGTTGCCTCTTGAAAAAGCACCTTTAGGGCAACCATGACTTGGATGACTGAGAATCTCCATAGATATTTTCTGAGTTATACTGAGTTGAAGTTTGACAAAATTAATTTTATGTACATCAAATTTTGTCATTGATGTCAGTAGATTTGTAGTTCAACTATTGTAGGGTACCCTTTACTGTTAGAGTATTTCTGAATTTGGTGAAGATGGTGATTAGTAGATATGTAAATCATTGTTACATATCTTCGATTATACCGCACGCACTGTTTATAACTGTTGATTTTAAATGAATCTGCTTATGTTTCTTTAATCTCAAAAATGCAGGATTGAGTTGTGCAAAGCATTAGAAAGGGATGTTTTGCACAGAAAGTTAGCATAGACAAAACTTTGCTTCTCAAATATTAAAGCAGCCATGTTTTCTGGACATTTTTTTCTGACATTTTGGTTTGACTTCTGTTTTCCAGATATCTTGTAACCCATCTTATGGGAGCGGATTTGAACAATATTGTAAAATGTCAGAAACTCACAGATGACCATGTACAGTTTCTCATTTATCAAATTCTTCGGGGTTTGAAGGTATTTCCAGTTTCATAATCATAGTAACACCTCTGTACACTTACCTTCTCCTTGAAATAGAAGCAAATAGATCAATAGAGGCAAAAACCGTATTCAGGCAAAGGCAGTTATTGCATTTTTGCTCTCCTGAATTATATAGAGTGATTTCCTTTTAAATAGATTTGAAGAATGTTTGCCATTTCTGAAATCTGGGATGGAAGCAAAAAAATGCTATTGCACAACTATTGAATTGGCTCTGCTTCTTTGCACAATTGAATTTGAAGTGGGCCAGCTTTGGCTCTACATTATATTCAGAGGCATTAATGTTCTTATTGTATGGCATTTTTTCATTTGCTTGTACTGCATATGCTATATTTTATTAGATTTGAAGAAAAGGAGACTGTTTTTGACACTTGAAAAGGAAGGGGGTATAAAAAAGTATTCACCTAATCCCTTCAGCTGTTTGCAGTACTACCTACAGGAGAAGAGATTATGCTGTAGATGGCATTGTAAAGTACTCTTCCCCCCCCCTTCCCTTTTTGTCATCTAGACAAAGACAGGAAAGATCTCCAACAAGCATGAAAAACATAGTTTTATAATGTAGCCAGTAGTAATATTTCCTCAACCATTTTATTAAATTCAGGAACATAGTTTTTTTCCGTACTCTCCCATAAAATGAGTTCAGGAAATATTGTCCATATTTTTTTTACTGATACTGCCCATCACGTGATTCCTGTTTGACTTCACTCACTCTAGGAAGGAAACGCAGAGTTGGGAAACGTCCTATATTGGCCCAGAGAAAAAGCGGCCTAGATGAACTACATTATGCAAAGCCAAAATTCAGCACTTTGTTTTGGTTAACAAAATGGGCAGTCCTAGAAGAAAACATGTTTTCATCTTGTACAATGTGGGGCAAATTGAAAATATGTTTTAATTTTGGTTTACAAATTTAAACATGTCTTTGTATCTGGATAAATCTTCACTTTGCCCATTTTTTTTTTTTTTGGAAACTAGAAACTAATGGAAAAATATGGAGTGACAACAAAATAAATCAGCCAAATAAACCATAACTAATTTGCTCATCTCAGCAACTTTTTATTTTTGGGTGCCAATGAGTCTCTGTTGATTCCTGCTGACTGCCTGGACAAGTCCCTGCAGGGTTTTTGTTTTGTTTTGCTTCTGGGCATCTTTTCAGAAGAATTTACCATTGTCTCCTTTCTAGGACTAAAAGAGAATGACAGGCCCAGTCACCTTTGTGCCTAAGATGGGACCAGAACTCACAGTCTCTCAGTTTCTAGTTTGGTTTAGTACTAGTTATTATAACTCCATAACACGAACAGTAACAAGTACATTAAGATGGAATTGGATTAAGAGAATTTGACTCTCCTAAATGTATATAGGGTTAGTTAGCATATATTTAATCAACTTTCATTTTTTTGAAATCTGTCCAAACTGCCAGACATTTCCCTTAAAATGTTATGGTGTAATTTGTGATGAGATTATCTAATTGCTCAGATTCCAGGGCACTTTGCATGTAGATATTTTGAATCAAAATGTAACAAGAAAGGATTATATGTAAAGAATGAAAATTTTACATTACATTACTGTTTTTCATGTAGGCATTTTAAAAAAATTCTAGTTGCAGATATTTGCTTTCCTATAGAAAGAAGCTGAAATCAGACAAAAAAGGTACAATTACTATATCATGAATGCTGTATTAAATGGAGTAGGAAAAACATGTTTTTATCATAACCAAATTGAAAATATTGCCCTAAATCTAATTAATATTAACACTTTTATCTTTTAGTATATCCACTCTGCTGATATAATACACAGAGTAAGTATTATTGTATTATTAAAACATGCAATATTTTTAGTTTATAGTATAATTCTTCTGAAAGACAAAATATTGAAATTTTATAAATGAAAATAATTAAACATATAACGGAAGACATTGTACATCCAGCTTTGTTACAGTGTTGATTCCACTCAACTTTCTCACTTATTTTCTCTGTTAAAATTCAGTATGCCGTTGGTAAATTTTTATAGTAAATGCAATATTGTATGTAAATGACTTTTTTATGAATAATCTTACACATTTTTGTATAACATTTGTGGCTGTTATACAATACAGTACAGGTTATAGAAATTATGAATAAGATGTGACTGTATTTAATAGCTTCATTTTGAACAGCTATTTTAATATGGTGGGCTGATTCTTTTTTTCTCCTTTTTATTTTAGGATTTAAAACCTAGTAACCTAGCTGTGAATGAAGACTGTGAGTTGAAGGTAACTTGGAATTAGTATGCCATATTGTTTATGGAAATTAAGCATTTATAATCTTATATCAAGACCTAGATAGTGAAGTATAGGTACCTATGTATGTATATATGTCCATAATGTTCTTCTGGGTATAACGTAATCATTCTTGAATCATGTTAATGTGATATAGTGTTACTGTTCTTGTATATATTATAAATCCTTGATAATTGTTGTATTTTAAATTTTTCATTTCTGTCTGCCTGCTTAATCTCAGACTTCTTCCTAGTGTAGCTTGCTAGAAAAGATGTGTGCTCTTTCTATCCTCCTTTTTTATCTTCTTTTGCTCACATTCTTTTTTAATTCCGGCAATATAAATCTGTTTTTCTTATTTTTCAGATTTTGGATTTTGGGTTGGCACGGCATACAGATGATGAAATGACAGGTTATGTAGCAACCAGGTGGTACAGAGCTCCTGAGATCATGCTGAACTGGATGCATTACAATCAAACAGGTATGATGTTTCATAAGCCTAAACTCTTACTATCAAATAGCACAGGTTGTGCTCCATAATACAGTTATCCAGATCCAACCTAATAAACAGTGTATAATTTTTACAGTATAATTTGGTTGTTTTTGGAACTGTTTAATAGTTCTTCATCTGAACTTATCTGTTCTTATATTTTACAGTATGTTTGTGAGATGTTTTATGTTCCCATGCTAATTAACCGTTTTAGTATTATTAGGTACCTATTGCACTTGTTTCATACCATACATTATCACCACTATATTTCATTTTGAGGTAAATAGATATTATGCAAAGCCCAAGAAAGGACTAAAAATTGGTAAGCAAAAGAAATTAAAATCAGGATACAGAAGAAAAGGGAGATAAAATATAGTTTACACTGACAGTTATTTACTGTACAATATACCGGGCCATTTACTATTTCAAATAGTCTTTTATGCTGTAAAGTTACTGAATTGCTTTGAGAAAATTATCAGACTTTATGCAATCATTACTTTCTTAGACTTGCTCTTCTTTTCAACCTATTAAATCTTCCTTCAAGTAGTGGTTTTGTTATCTGACACGCTTTCATTCTCACTATATTATCATGCTACCTCAATATACATTTTTGTACCAGTCACTCAGATTTATATTCCATCCATGATTTATCATCACCTTTTCATTCTTGACATATCCTTGTTTTGCCACATGCACTTCCCATTGCATTAAATAAAATTAAAAATTATTTCCCCTGACAAACCCCTCTCATTCCATATTAAGAACTATGCAGAGTCCTGCTGTTGTACATGGCTTGTGTTTTCAGAATGCTCTGAGTTTCCAGATCCCTGATTTTTTTTAATTATCTCCATTTACTAGTCATAATGTTACATTAAGCATAATTAATAGTTTTTATACACACATAGTACTGTATAATCTAAATGGTACCAGTTCATAGTTTCTGATATGTTTTATCAGTTCATTCATAATTTAATTTACACAAATACTTTTCTCCATACATGTGTATCTGGGGGCACACCTCTCCCTCCCTCTGCCCCTGTGTGCGTGTGTGTATGTGTGTGTGTGTGTATTGAATCACCTTAATTAATCCTACCTCTTTCTCTTAGTTTTACAACATAATCTGTTTTTTTTTTCATTCTTAACAACTACATGCACATTGTATAGAATTTTTTACCAGTAGAATATTTCAGTTGGGGTTTGTAACTCTTAATTTCCTTTTATCTTGATTTGTTTTATCCTCAGTTGATATTTGGTCAGTTGGATGCATTATGGCTGAACTTTTGACTGGAAGAACACTGTTCCCTGGTACAGACCGTATCCTTCAGAAGCACCTATCAGTAAAATAAAACAACAGGTTGAACTAGAAAGGATGTATTATTTAATATGAAGCTATTATATTGAACTTGTGCAAATTATTGCAGGGCTATTTTGTCAATCTCGATTTAGGAAAATTAATTCATTATCTTAAAGAAAGGGTTTTTTTTGTATGTATTCGAAATGGATTGTCGTGGCCTGGTATTTAACTATGCTTGAGAAGAAAAAAATGTATTGTTGCCATAGAAATGACATTGTTAAGAACATCCCGTGATGTTCTATTAAGAAAAATACGTATGGGAATATTCGGTGGGAAGGTAACCACATTCTGTGCACCTCGGCATATAGTCATGCTGCATGACCTCAGAAATGTCTTTGAACAATACTGGCTCCCTCAGCTAAGAAACGGAAATGAGCACCAGTCCCCTAAAATCAGACACGACTGAACAGGGAAAATCTTTACCTTTATGGGAATATTTATGAGAATAATAGTATAATGAATATATTGTCCTTTGAATATTCTCCAAATAGTAAAATATACATTTTATTTCTAGTTAAATTAAAGTGTAGTCCTCTTTGGTCTTAATGTTTCAAAAATAATGTCTTCCTAAAGAGAATACTAGCTTCTCAAATTTTAATTATATCACATTAGTTTAGGGATCAGATAGGTTTATCTATTACTTTGTAGTCAGTCTCTCTTTCATTTCTTTTATGTTGATGCCCTTATAATATAAAAACAATAGAAAGTATTTTTATTTTGAAGACTTATGTTAAAAACACCTCAGTAACTAAGTTATATTTTTATATAGTATGTGTTTGCTGTATTTTCTTGTGGGTCTTTTGTAGCAGAAAGACACACATTATCTTTATACTATCAGTATGTCCTTTTCTTGAATAAGCTTCAACAAGAGTGAGTAGAGAATGGTTTTTTCATTTTTTTTAGTTTTTTCAATTCCCTGTTTTTTTCAGGGAATCATATGGATATCTTAAAGATGCATATGGCACACACTTAGTAAGAATGCTAGGGTTATCACTGCAAATAAACGCATTGAGAACCAATAATTTGCAAGAAACTTTTATTGCTAGCATTTAAGCCCTGATCTGCAGGGCTGAAGCCTTTTAAAGTCTGTTTAGTGGATGTGGATGTTTTAAATTTTTATAATAATCAAAGAACCAGTTCTCTGTGTTTGTTTTTAACTTTCATTTATATTAGATTTTACTATTATATTTTTTTTATAAAAAAAAAAAGAAATTAAGTTGTGTAGTTGCAGTTTGTTAATATTTGCTATACAAACCTGGATTACATGTTTCAAAAATTTAAAAGAAGATTGGGTACTTAAATTTAAGCATATTAATACGTTCAGTCAAGTTTGTGTTGAGTAAAATCTAAGACTATAACTGATAAATAAATTTTAAATATTCTTTCTTCTACCCTACCCTGACCCTGTTCAATGTAATATTTCAATTGTGAAGTTGTGTTCTGAGAAGTGTGTGATTAATTTAGTTGAGATGAACTTTTAGACCGTGTTTGTACACTGTAGCAAACTGTTCTAACATATGATTTTTTGAGCATAGTTATGGTGACCATAAACTCGGATTTACACATTATTAAGGTAGTTTCAAATGTCACACATTAATCTCAAATTATGTATACTCCAACATGTTTTATGTGTGGTGTGAACTAAACCTGAATTTAAATTCTTCTCTCAGCATAAAGTATTATAAGAAAATTGTCTACATTGGCACACAATTTATATTATGAAAATATTCTAAGTTATTAAAACTTTTGAAAAGATAATTTCAAAATATTATGTTTTGGTATTTGCTCATTACCTACTTTGATTATAGATCAACAGTCTGAATAAGATATTTGGCTTTTACACAATTCATTGCTGATGATTTTGGCAAGCTTCAGTTATGGGATTTCCTGGTCCTTAAAGATGAATCTTACTGCTACTTGCATATCCTTTTAATAAAATTTGTTTTGGATAAATTCTTCTTATTTTAGTTTTACTTCTGCTAATTACTTATTTAGGTGTCCTTGAATTGGGACCTTGGTGATTATATGGACAAATGCTACCCATCTCTTGCCTGACCATAATTGGTCATTCTTTCTATGACATTTCAGTGACCACTTAGATCCCTTCATCTACTTTATCCATTGTTTTCTACTATTGTCAGCCCTACTGAGGCTAGTAGCTTTCCTAGTACATTATCCATTCATAGTGAGTTCATGCTTCTTGGTTATTTTCTAAAGGAAGTAGTTTTTATTTTCTCCAGAACTAATTTATTGTTTTTCTTGCAATCTGTCATTCTCTTTCCCCAGTGTCCTATTTTCATTGTTGTGGTATTTACCAGCATAAAACCATTGCTTTAACTACTCCTCACTGCTTTGATATGTCTTAATTCTGAAACAGGGACATTATGGAGTTTTGTAAAGTTCTATTTTATATTTTATGTTCCATTAAGTCACACTTTTTGAGTCATAAAACTGATTCACTTATTCTGTTTTCTTTGGCTGTTGTTGTTTTATCTTGCTGGTCATTAACTGTACAGTAATTAAATGAAAAATCTTTGTCATACGTTTTCCCTTATCTATCATCACCTTGTCTAAGATGCTCATTGCCTCCCTGTCCAGGACTAATCCTCTCTTTCCTTCTTCAGCAAGTCTAAGAAAATAAAAAATATCTGTCCTCGTATTTCTTTGCCATCATGTGTTAATTTGCTAAGCATGCTAATTGATATAAATTTTGTTATAATATTTAACCCAGATTTTTGTTTTCCATTTTTAATTCACAATCACTTCTTCTGAGCATTCTTTACTTTAAGTAACAAAACAATATTTGCGTATCTCAAATTGTCCATGTTTTAAAATTCAGATTTGATTCTATCTATCATGTCTTTCATTATTATAAAAGATTAATTGTAAAAATTAAACAGATAGTAAAAATTAAATAGGTACTTTGTCTCTCTCCATTTGCTACCTAAACAAGTCTGTTTTCTTCTAACTTGATTTTTAACAATACCTTCTTGTTCATTGTAGCTACTCCAAAGAAGAATCATCAGGTATTTTGAAACACTGGTTAGCTGTATTATATTCCACATTGGTTAACTATATTTTATTCCACATTCTGCATAATAAAGAGTTTTACTGTTTTCAATAGAGAGAGGTAAATATCTGTCTGCCGTTTTTGTTGACCATCTGCTGTTTTTGTTGACCAGATACCTATCTGTTCATTTATCTCTTTCTTTTCTGAAATCTGATTATTCATTTGATATTTTTATCTATGTATAACTGTATTCTTCCATATAAAAAATGAAGTAACATTTTGCTTGCACTTCATGCTTATTTTGACGGTCTAATTTTTGCCTGGTTCATGCTTCTCATATTTCAAGCTTCAATACTATACACCCTTATAAAATTAAAAAAACCTTATCTTTCAGTTCTGGTACCAACTGTGATTCCATCATTGATCTGACTATGTCCTTATAAAAATTTTGAATTCTTTGCCAATAATTTAGTGGGATGCCTTCTAAGAAATAGAGCAGTGGGGTAGCTCACCAATTATTTGGCATCCTGGTCTATCTAAATGTTTCATCTATATCCATGTAGTTTTTAGGTCAACAGTACAGAAATCTTTTGTCATTGGCTTCTTCTAAGTGGTCAACTTCTTCCATATTTCAGAATCCAAGTTCTCCTTATAGTTATAGATTACTCTTAGCTTCTCTTTTAATCTGACTGCAAAGGTGAGCCTACTTGGAATTGTGGCGTCATTTCCAGAATATAATTCAATCATCTTAATCATGTCAAAGTTATAATTCTGTATAAGAATTTTCTTCCGTAACTGATTTTCTTCTGTAACTTTCTTCTGTAACAAATGATTCTTTGGATTGGTTTCAAATTATAAAATTTTAGTATTTTTGACTGCTGATACAAAATGTTCATCAGTTGCTGTCTTAACATATCTTCAATTCTCTTCGAAAATATTATATATAGGTAATGGAGAAAAATAATTTGAATGCAGTAAATAAAATGGTTTCAAGAACATGTAATCTCTAATTTAGTTAATTTTTCAAATTATTTTTCAAATACTGTAAGCATTTATCGTAGAGAAAGCAAGGTATTTAGAACAATTAGTTTTGTTTGTTTGGAACTACACACAGCATTTTACTGATAAGAATTAAAGCTTTGTATCTCTATGGTCAGAATAATTGTATTAATTAAATTTTATGAAGTTAATAAGAATAATTTTATTTAGTAATGTATATCACAACTTTTATAAGATAGGTTGCTTGAAATTCAAGCTGAAATTCTTCCTGTTTCAAATAATTATGTATTGTCTTAACATTTTTCTTATTGATTTTGGATAATATATTTGTAATACAAATAATTCACTAGTTTGGGATAAACTGAGGGAGATAATTGAATTAGTGGGCTATAAGCAAAAAAAAATGTTCTATATTAAAACTACCGTGTTTCTCATATAATAAAGGCGGGTCTTTTTTTTTTTGAACCCCGAAAAAATGGCTAGGCCGTCTTTTTGGGGGTGACTTAATTCTCCCCCTTGTATCTTCAGGCAGGCGGGTGGGCAGCGATGGCTTGGATGTTGACCTCGGCGTTGGTGGGGCACTTCATATTGGGGTCAACGCAGGCAGCACCATATCCGGGTGTGCAACAAAAGTACTTCCTAATGGCAAGCCCCCCCACCATTACCCCCCATTTCGCATGTTTTAATATAGGCCTTAATTTGGGGGGGAGGGGCTTAATTTCATTTCATGCCTATAAAACATGCCGGGACTTCCTATTGGGGGAGACCATATTGTTGGAGAAACGGTAGTCTCAAAAATGTTACTTAATGTAGGCTTTAGAAGTAAATAATAGTAATTATTACAATGAGTAGCACCCATGCATGCCAGTTTTTGTACCTGACACTGAATCTTCATCTTGCTAATAACTCTGAGCTAAGTACATCTAACTTAAAACCATTTCAGTCTTCAGTATATAAATTAGGTATTATAGTGCAAAAGTGTATTGCATTAGGAAATGGTTTGAATGATATGGAGGAAACCTAAATTAACTTGGAAATACTTTGATAGCTAATAAAAATGCTTTACAGACCTCTATTAGTGATAGGTTGATCTTAGAACTTTAACTATACTCTTGTCATATTTTTCATCCGTTAGACAAAAACCTAATTATTTCGGCTGTACAATTTTATATTATCTATACAGTGGTCGTCAACCGGTGGGCTGGGGACCACTGGTGTTCCGCAAAAAAATTTTGGGGGTCCGCAGAGAAATGTTCCCCCAAAGCAATTAATCCAGTGCAGGAACACAAGGCTGTGCCGCTGACATGGCCCACACACTCACTGGTCCCCACCCTTCGGCTAAATGCAAACCTTACCTTAAGTAGAGCCACGCGACCTGGAACTGGAGTGTAAGACCAACAGTAGGGGAGGGGAAATCTGCCTCGGGGTGGCTTGCTGACGGTGGGAAAGTTGGTCCCACATTCCAGAGCTGCAGTAGTCACAAGACTGGCCCTTTGGTAATCCCGGAGTAGCTCCTCCGGTCCATGGCAGGCCGGTGCACCCGGGTGGAGGAGCAGCTGCTCTGGGATGACCAAAGGGCCAGTCCTGTGACTACTGCAGCTCTGGAATATGGGACCGACTTTCCCACCAACGTCAGCAAGCCACCATCATTCAAAATTCATATTAGTGGTCCGCAGGATTTAAAATTATGAGTTTGGTGGTTCCTGAGGTCCAAAAGGTTGGTGACCCCTGATCTATAAGACATTATTTTCAAAATTCTGAAGAAGGCCTGTATTCTACATTACTGCTATTGTATTCAGAACTATGTGTTACTTTTTTGAACAGAAAAATAATAGCTTGTGGAGGAAAAGTCACAATGTTGAGAATAATTTCATGAAATTGCGTTGCTCTGATGAATGGCCACCTCCAGAAGTTAATTACTTCTAGTATTCCATATTGCCTAGATATATTTAGCTATATAGAATTTCCAGGAGGTATTTGGGATATGTATTTATACATAAGAGATATGCTAATTTTGCTTATAATTATTTGGTTGAACTTTTCCCCTTTTATTTTATTGGGCTGCTGCTTCTTCATTTTATTTGTCCCAGAATTTTCCTTTATGGTCCATTGTTAGATATTGATCAGTTGAAGCTCATTTTGAGACTCGTTGGAACCCCAGGCCCTGAACTTTTGAAGAAAATCTCTTCAGAGTCTGTGAGTTTAAAATTTGATTGTAATGACTCCCTTATGTGGATTTCTTTTATTTTATTTGCTCTGCTGTCATGAAGATTGTCTCTATATTTTTTATGTTTGGCTTATTTTCTTCTTTATTTCTACAGGCAGCTTGATTTTTCACTGGTCTTCCATATTGTTTTTCAATTAACTAGTTCCTCATATTATTCATTTTTTGTTTCTCTGTAGGCTATATTAGGCTTAGCTAAACATTAAATATACTTTATTATATGCTATTATATAGACATTTTCACACATACTATTGAAAGGCTACATGCAATAGTGCATGCACAAACTCTGAAATGGGTGTCCTTTTTCCTTACTTCTCCTATTTCCATGCATGCCCTACATTTGTTCAGGAAAATCTAGAATCTGTTTTTTGTTCCATCAACCAAAATTTGTACCAATAAGCTATTGGAATAGATAATACAGTGTGCCCTCTCTTTTAAATGGATTGTGCATTAGAGGTGGGTCTTTGTAACTTGAATTTGTATTATCACAGACTTAACAATCCATGAAATGAAGTATTTGAATTGCAGTTATTACTTGTTTCAAACCAACCTTCACACACCAAACTTGAGTGCTCTTCATGCATGCAAGAATTCCTTGTCGGCATGACCTTTGCTGAGAAATCTGAATGTTACCTCATGTAATGGTGCTTCAGATTGCATAATCCATTTAAAGTTCAAATCATGGAGTGATAAAATTGTAGTCTAATTATTCTAGTCTTTTTTTGTAAGCAGAATTAAAATACATTTGCAGCATAATCACTAGCACATTTTGCCTTTCTATATGAGTAAAATTTTTATATAATTTCAGTATAAATAATTTCATCATCAATGAAATTAAAAGAAACTGTAGGAGTGGTTGAAAAATGCTTAATTCATGCAGTCCAGGAAGATTTGATAAAAAAAAAAGGAATGTATATATAATGTGGATGTATAAAACAACTATTTTTAAAAGAAAATTCCGAATGAACATAAAGAAATGCTGTAGATTGTAAAAAGAATCATGCTCAAAACTTCAAGGGAAACAATGGTTAAGAAATATGAAATTTAATTAAGTAAATAAACTTACTATTAAAATAGGTAAAAACATGACAGTTTGAAGAAAACTATGTAGTAAAAATTCTAATTCTGGAGAGATTTAGAAGAACCGGCTTATTGAGAAAAGGGAAAATAACTATCCTTTGAAAAGCATGTGCATCAGTTTGGTAAAAGCATGAAAACTAATTTGCCCTGTATGTTGTGTAATAAAAAATACTTGTCTTTGTGCTTGACAGCTTGGAAATCAGGGTCTACTTTCCAGGTAACAGGCTTTTCCCCCCCTTACAGCTTCATTGGTTGCAACTGTCACATCAACTCCTTTATACATGCTGGGTTTTGCTCTGCTAGTTGCCAACTCCAGATCTCGGGAAAGAGCATGCTGGATAATGCAAAATGTTATTAAAGAGTATAGCACGTCGATAAACAGCATCTTGTCATCTGAAAAAGCTTTCAAACAAATAATTGAGACAAAGATTTTGGTTAGCCTAGTCATTGGTTTGAATAACTAATGTGACATACAGATCTGATAAATGTAACATTAACATACACAAAGTATAAGACTTATTAGGGATTGATTTTCTGAGAATAAATAAAAGACAGTATTGAAGATCAAGGTGTTCACAGAACAATTCGAAATTCTGGCCTTCTAACCTGGAATCTGTGTTTCAGAGATAGGGAAGCCAGGTTTTGTTTCCCTATAGCTCAGCTGATCCTTGAGAATAGATAAGTCTTGCTGTTCTTGTCAGTATTAGTAATATCTTAAAATGATATCATGGTATTTTCCTAAGCCTGGTTAGGACAAATTTTTCCTCTTTTCATGCTCACTTTTTATATGGCTAACAATATGAGATCTTGATAATTACTAGTTGCCTTAACTTGCATTATTTTTTAGTATGGAAATTAGCAATACCAAGGCTTTATTCTTTGATTGAAATTTTTCCCAGAATTGCTCAGTTATACTAGTTGTCCAAAGGAAGAGAAAATAGAGTCTTTACACTTTCCAATGTGTGCTTCAATTCCCTTTCTAATTAATCTTATCATATACAGCCTCTTGTTTATACTTGCCTTATCTGGGAGAAAACAAGTTGCCCATCTTTTCCCATGTGACTTTTAGCTTGATAACAAAAAATCAGCAATGAGTGAGTAATTAATCTGACGTCTTGTTGCAGATAAAGATATACATCTGCCATAAAAGTTAAGGAATTGAGCTTCTGCCTAAAGGCAAAATACTCAATGGAAGTTGAAAAATCTGGTATCCCTTAGTTTAGTTTGGTATTTACAATATCATGAATTGGTTAAAATCTTTTCTTCCTTCCCTATACAGGCAAATTGTGATTTAGAATGAAGTGTCAATCATGGAATTAAATAGACTAATGTGTGCTCTCTTTTTTTTTTTTTTGCTAGTCACTTGTGCACACTTGGCTTTAGTTGATTTCTTTTATTCACTGACAAACTAGTATTTTTGTGCTTTCTAATATTGCATGTATGCTTTGAAAGTTTATATCTATAGGAAAGATTCTTAGCTGCTGTACCCTCAAGGCATTCCACTATGTAGCAAAAGAGTGAAAGCTAATTTGAGCATTGACACTGTTGAAATAGTAGCAAAGCCCTTGACAAGGCATTTTAAGATATTAACCAGCTTCAGCAAATCATGCGTCTGACGGGGACACCCCCTGCATATCTCATTAACAGGATGCCCAGCCATGAGGTGAGATCTTAGGAGGATGTGCACATTGGTCTGCAATTTAAAACATTTGATTATTTTATTCACTTTAATATTTTTAACTTTCCAAGGGCACCCAAATTTAAACAATTATAAAGCTATTTATAACAGTCTACTCCCAATCTAAAAGTTCTTATTGACCTGAGGATCTGGTTCCTCCACTTCTCTCCATGTAATTCCAGCATTTCGTGTTCCAGTAGTAGGTACAATTGCAACAACATTGTCTTTACAATTTATTTAAAGGATAATACAAAGGGAACTCTATATTTTTAAAAGAAACAATACATTAGGTGTGAATAATGGGAAAGGTGTTTTTGATGTGAGGATCATTAAGGCAGTTTTGAGGAAGCTCATATTAGTACAGTTAGTGCTTCAGGTGAAATCTTGTCCCACTCCACTAAAGTTTTAGTACTAGAAAACCAATAACAGATCTGTACAAACTGTAAAATTTTAGAAAAAGGTGCTGTGAACATGTATTTCCCAAGAACTTTTAAAAGCTGCGCTTTATAGCAACTGAACTTTTCAAACTGTCTTCACAAGAAGTTTTACATGTAGGCAAATTACTGTAGTTCAGTGAAGACGTAACCAGAAGCAAATCTAAATTGTTGAAAGTCATACATTTTTGTCTATTCTTCTTAATACAATTGTACATCTCTCATTTAATTGATATACTTGTCCCATGCAGATGTTACTCTGCTGTAATATATTGCAATGAATCAATGTTCTAACCATCTAAGATCATTCAGGTGCCATTGCTATCGTCTAGCATATCATAGGTATTGCTTATGCAATGCATAAGACCCAAATTCTAGCATTTATATCATCACTATCATGCTGAGTATAAAAATGAGAAGATAAAGTTAGATAGTAATTAAAAAACTCAAAAATCAGATGAAGTCAAAGTAAAAAAACAGGCCTACAAAGAAACTTGCAGTGATTAAGAAGCATACTGGTAGTTTAATAACATGTTTTATTTTCCTCCAGGCAAGAAATTACATACAGTCCTTGTCTTACATGCCGAAGATGAATTTTGAAAATGTATTTATTGGTGCGAATCCTCTAGGTAAGACTTAACGGTCGTTCCACCACAGTGGAGAATATAAAATGCATGTAAACCAAGTTTGTGAACACTATTTTGGCATGACAGATAAAGCATACATTTCACACATGCATAGTGAAGATGACTTTGGTTTCATTTGTATACATTCATTCAGGCTTATTCATAACACTAAATCTCTCCCACTTCATTCCTTCTGCCAGGAGATAAAGTTAAGCACCCCAGATGTTCATTTCATGGTTCCTTTAGCATCAAATGTGAACCAAGAATGTTTGGTTTGGGTCATTCACCTGTTTTAATAATTTAATAATAGATTCTGCGCCTTGCCATAAAACTTATTATAAGGGGAGGTTTTTCTAGCAAGTGCAACAAATTGTTTATTCCTCAAAACACAGTTTTCCATTCAATTGAGAACTAAGAAGTATCAGGACCTTCTATGGATAGAGAGAGTCCATAGATGGAAATTCCAATTGTAGCACTAAATAATTTGGAGAAAACAAGAAGTTACCAGTATAGTAACTGAAAGTCCTAAACCCAACCTATATTTTCTGAAATACATGTATTTAATAAATGCCAAGTTTGGTAATTTTATTCTGGCTGAGGCAACCAATCTGATTATGTGAATGAAGGTTGGTTGCCTCAGCTATAATAAAATTATGTGAATACATAATCAAGACCTGGAAGAGCCCAGAAGGACCATCCCTCTGTCTGAAATAAGCCCTCCTGAGTTTTTGGCATGGCCTGGGGAGGGGGGCAGTTTTCATCTGCAAAGTTCTTATGGCTTTTCAAGGTTTTGAACCACAGATAACCAGATGGAAGGTCCTGTGCCTGAAGTTAGGCTTTAGGGAGCAGTTGATTTGTTGCTGCTGTACCAGCTTACCTGCTACTCAGTGAGATCACTACATAAGTTGCTTGACTTTGTTGCCAGTTAACAGTGGAATCTCAAAGGAATTTCATCCTGCCCACATCTGATGTATTGTCTCTGGAGCAGCCCAGTAATTCATGAACTTCATGGTTACCTCAGTGATGCTGTCAGCATTTGATCCCAGGTCCTGGAGTTGGTGCCCAAGCAAACCAACCAAGAGGCTAACCATGTAAAGGTTGTCTGGTTCTGAAGACTTTTCATATGTACTTCTAAATGAGGCTGGAGTTTCCCTGATGAAACTTACATGAAATTTAAAGGTTTTCTTGAATTCTTCCTACAGCTCCTGATCAAAGAGTCAGCAGCAGCTGTTACTAAGAAGAAATTTGTACAGATTCTCATTGTGCAGCAATTGCACGTGTTCCTGAAATGGAAGGCTTTTCTAATAGCCATTAAGCCATGATTACCTCATGTTTGGACTGCCAGAATGCACTCTATATGAGGTTGCCCTTGAAGGCAATTCAGAAGGTTAGGTTGGTTCAGAATGCACCATTATGAGCAATTAAAGACATGCTATGGGGTGCCCGTGTAGCACCTCTGCTTTGCAAGCCTGCACTAGTTACTGGTTACCGTTAGATTCCAATTCAAGGTCCTAGCTATTCTGCAAAACCCTATACAGCATAGGGTCTAGTTGTTTGAGGAACCACCTGTCTTCCCTTGTGTGTGCACATCCTGTAAGATCAGACAGAGTCAGCATATCCCAGATCTTATCCATTAAACAATATGAACCAGGAAGCATGATTTCTCTTTTGCAGCACCTTGGCTCTGAAACAGTATCCTTCCAGGGATTTGAATGACCCCAGCTCTATTGCGTTCTACTGTAGTTTATGCAAACACTGAAGACCTAGGTCTTTTCCTGGGCTTTAGGCTAGCAGGAAATGTGGACCCTGTCCAAGAGAGAGTTTTATGTCTATTCCACTAGGACGACTATTTCCTTTTCTGTTATCTGTTATTGTTTTGTTTTTAATATTTTATATCATCCAGAATCATTTTTGTGTATGTCTGTTTATGTATATATGTTTATGTTTTGTTGGAGATTGTTTCATCTTTTTGCATCTATGAGCTGCTTTATCTACTAGGTGAGTGATAAATATGGGGAACAGCTGTCCCTCTGATTCTCACCTGGCCTTTTATTAATTAAATGAATATTTTAGTTTAAGAGACAAAAAAGACCTCCACACGCTTCCTCTTAAAGAAATAATTTAGATAAAAGTTATTCTTTTATATCTTCATTTATTTCTTATGTTTTACTTCATATGTATAATGTGTCAGCTTCCAAGCCTGGATTCAGTTTGACATAATGTCACTTAGTTTTCATTGATAGGTTAAGCACAGACTTTGCATTCAAAATAACTAAGCCCATAGTTGTGTTCTAAGATAGGTGGCCATACAGATCTTTTAAATAAATAATATGAACATTCTTCATTTTAAATGGAGTGCCCTGCCTTTTAATTACTCAATATTTTCTGGATGTGAGGCAAAGTTGGCAGAAGAAAGCCCGATGATCCGATATACTCCGAACTCTGCTTGCCAGTTGGTGCAAAGCTAGTTCACTGCCTTGGTGCACTGTGGATAGCGTGCACCCATGAACTAACAAACTAACAAACTTGTTGTAAAGAGTATTTCAGACTTTCTTGGCCATGTATGCCATATACACACACACACACACAAAAAGAAGCCTCAGTGCTTTCAACATTCACTTACGCTCAGAAACTCAACCAAGGGTTCCTGCTGAATTCAAATTTTCCAATTCTTTTCTTAGAATGTTGTTTTATAGATATTAAATTCATTTTCTTCTTCTTGCATACAAACTGAATGGCAACATATTGGCATTGGGAAATACTGATTTTCTATAAGTTGATTTGGGATTTTATGAGGAATTGCACATTAATCCCTCTTTTTGTTTTCTCCCCTTGGCTTCTGAAGCTGTAGACTTGCTGGAGAAGATGCTGGTGCTGGACACAGATAAACGGATTACTGCTGCTGAAGCTTTGGCCCATGGCTATTTTTCTCAGTATCATGACCCAGATGATGAACCAGTGGCAGATCCTTATGATCAGTCCTTTGAAAGCAGAGAACTTGATATTGAGGAGTGGAAAAGTAAGTTTTCTGGGAGACAGATGTGGTGAACCAAGTATTGCTGATGCCATTCACCAACATCATTGTTGTAGTTCATGTGAAAAAATAAAGATGTCAGGAAGTAATGAAATCTAGTTTGGCAAAATAGGAAGGATGTGCAGAAACAGGCCTTTTCAACAGAGAAACTCAGAAAAGTTAGTACAGTTGCATAAAATGAGTCAAGGCCTCTATGACTTACCATTAATATTAAAACACTCCTGATGATGCTTGGTGAAAGAACACTTTGCAAAGTCCTTCTCTTCCCTCTAGTTTTTGCATTCTACCAAAAATAAAAAATAAGGTTTTTTTTATTTTGCATTCACTAAGAATTCAGTAATCGGAAGGGGCGGGTAAAGGACAGTTATGGGGGACGGGGACAGTTGTAAATAAAGAAAATAAATGGCTGAAACAAAGATAGAAGAAAGGCAGATGGGAACAAGCACGTTAGCTTTGTCTTTCTCCTGTGACTGACAATATGATGAGAAAAACAAGCTGTGGAAAGGAAGCAAACGGGCAGGAAGCTGAAGCTGAGGGAGGAGCTTCTTCTGTCAGGAACTTCCACTGTGGAGACTGAGTGACTGTAGTGGAGGTCCTCACTAATTATGGAGGCTCCGTGGGAAGGGTGGACCCAGGAGAATCCGAACCTTCTACCAATGGAGAATTTTAAATGGATAGAGAGAGGGCCTCAGTTGTTGTAGACACTTGCTGCATACTTGTGGGATCCTGAGCACACTGACTGAAAGTAAGCACCATTGAATCAATGGGGGACATAATACAGAGCAAGTATACTTCTTCTGTGTTTGCAGTTCTTGTATACAGGTG